GATCAAACGGATTCTATCAGTCTGGATGGTTAGTTTTTGTCTTTGCTCACATGTTTTCCTTACATTTTGGGCTATCTATTGTGACTAGATAGTAGTTTCTTGAAATTCTGTGTATGTTTCTAGATTGTTTTGGGTCAATTATGAACTATTTTTGAAAGTCATGTCAGTGCTTAAATCATCTCAAATTTTTCATCCCCTCTCACCTCTCAGCTTATGCTTTCTATTTGATGATTTCCGTCATCATTATTTATCAAATAGGAACCTCAGAATCTGTTTTTGATGTCTTCTTGTCTATCCAAACTAGGACTTATGGTTATTCTGATACTTATTGTGCTTGCTTTCCTCTTCATGTATGATCTCCTTCAACAAATATAGGTGTCGCTCTTGCTGTCTCTCATATCGCTAACTCATCCGAGTTTGTCACTTGTGGTGACGGAGTCACTGTTTGGGGTGCACAAGGGTAAGTTGCTCATTTTGCCTTTTTCTATATTTCCAGTCACCACTCGTTTTTTGCTTTACAGAAGTAAAAAAATACGAGAATACGATGTTGGACATGACACCGTTCACACCGTTCGTGCAAATCCAATTGAAGAAGCCGTCTTGGTTGGCGCATGTAGTGATCGTTCAATATTTGTAATTGACACGCGACAAGCAGTCCCGCTAACAAAGGTGGGATTCTCCTTTTCCTTTCAGCCATCATATTTCATGAATGCTAGAGTTGTTCATTAGGTTACTATGAAACTACGTCCTAACCAAATTGCGTGGAATCCAATAGAGCCGTACACTTTTTCCGTGGCTAATGATGATTACAAGTAAGTTAGCCCTCCTTGTTCTTACTTTGTGCCGTTTTCCATCATCTTTTGTTCCTAATCATTTTGATCTCTATGTTATATCTTGCCTCCGTAGAGTTGGTATTTAACACAATTTTGAAGTTGGTTACCAGGTTTGCAGCTTCATTTTTAATGGTACATAACATTTTTGGTTGAGCTTCTATATTTTACGCTAACTAAACTTCAGACGTGCTTTGTACCGTACCTTACAAAAAAACACTCATTCATGATCGAGTTGCTGCATTCCATTAATTTAGAAGACATTTGTGTGATACAGTCAGGAACTTTCTGTTAACACCACTATCCTTCAGTGTGTAGGTGCAAGTGGTCAACAGTTATTTCATATCATTTCTGTATATAATCGCTTG